CATTTTCATTCAGACCGTGTCGCGTATATTTCTCGCAAATTTTATCCACATTTTATATTAATCATTTCAATACTCGAGCTCTCTCGCGTCATTTTCACCACCATTACCCTCTATTTGCTCCCTTGCTCCGGTTTCAATTTCGTCGACTCCGTCTGCTCCTATCCTTGGCTTCTTCGCTCGCGTTTCTTCGCCTTTGCATGCCCCCTATGCAACTCGGCCATGAATATTTATGCACCCGTTACCTTTTCGTCCTTTTAACACCGCGGGCCATAGTTTCATCTTCTTCATTACCCTGTCGTAAGTTTCTTTTTTTTTTTCTTATTCATCCGCCTTTCGCGACCATTTTTCCTTTTCGTCTTCGCCGTTTCATCCGCTTTCAGCCGCCACCTCCTTTGCTTACCATTTTTCTAACTCGTCCCTTTTCTCCGTGAATATTCACCCGACCCATATTCTTCGTTCCCTTTATTTCTCTCGCCTGTCTGTTGATTCCTCTTTCATGTTGCTCGCTGCGTTTGCAACTTTGCCGCGTTTCGTATTCGCGCGTAAAGCTTCTCGTCTTCGGGCGAGAAAACGTTGCGTCCCCCCATCTTTAAAGCCTGATTAAATTACGCTCATCCGACGGTTGGTTTTATCGTCTTTATCGCGATTCAAATACGTACCGCTAAGCTCCTCGCTGAGATTATGATTAGAACTTGAACAGTGCGCATCTAACGGAAGCTGTCTGATGGGATACACGCTGGGTTTTAATTCTTAAGGTGACGAACCATGGAGAGAGACGGTGATTATTTTTGATCCATTTAGATTTCAGGAGATTTCAAATATGGGAAATATTAAATACAGGGAATACTAAGTACAGCAAATATTAAATACAGCAAACCTCAAATATAGCAAATTTCATATGCAGTAAATTTTAAATATAGTAAATGCCAAGTACAGAAGATTTGCAAAATAGTAAATTTCGTTCTTCTAAACGCCATTCTTCAGGACCAATAAAAAAGATTCTAAAACCTAGTCACGAGTTAACTAGGGTCCTCTCTATTCTGTTTTTCAAACAGGGCTGTGATTCAAGATTGTTTTTCGGCAAAGAATCTCGTGCAAAGCCCTCCATTCTGTACTTTGTCTAGATGCTGAGGTCCCTCGTTGTGAGACGCCCACCCACGCATCGCCTTTGGCTGTCTCTATGCATACAGGGTGTTAAGAAAGTGCATCGATCGTTGCATGGTACACGCGTGTAAAGACGAGCAGAGTCTGCGTGGGGTAGGTTCGGGGTGATTTTAATCCGCGATATTATTCAGACGCTTCGAGCGTTGTCGGTGAACGCTTCAAGGATCCCATTCATGTTCTTCATGGTGGTGAAAAGGTGACTGGCTTTAATTAAAAACACCGTATAATCTCTATATTAAATTTGAAATATTATATTTCGAATGGATGTAGCATTGTGAAAATAAATTTTGGAATGTAAATTTTTAAAATTAAAAAAAAAATAAGAGCGACACAAAGGTAATGATAAAATTCCATTTCTTCACCTTTTCATCCAGATACAGTACTGAGCACATATTGTTTTCTTTAAATTGAAATTATTCTAATTGTAAGTGAAAAAAATTCAAATCTATTGGCAAATTGTTCACTGCAGAAGCTCTCAACAATAAAAACAAAAATCTTGTCATATGGTAGCATTAAAAAAAACTAAATCACTTTCTTTTCTACTTAAAACAATTCATCCCTAAAGAGGTTAATGTTCTGAGAATTCCTGGTTCCCCCATATCGTCATTTTCTCTAGGGAAGTCTACCATGGTCGATGCTATACACTTAAATTATTCACTATTTTATACTGCTTTCTAATGAATGGTACAGGCATCCGAAAATCTTTATGCTGAAATTTCATGTTACACGAGCGTATCGCGGTTCAATTCAGAACAGCTGCACGTTCCACAACTTCGTCGTTGTTTCTCCATACGACTGAGATTTATGATCCTTCGTGCTTTGGGAAAGGAATTAACGTTTCGATTCGATACGTCCTCCGCCCACGCTTTGTGACATTTCGGACGGATTATTGAAAGCGTGAATTTCAATCTTGATGTGGCGTTCTTTGATCTCGATACGCGAATCGTGGATCAAGCGACGAAGAGATAATCGAGCCTCGAGGCGGTGATTTTTCATTTTCCACAAAGTGTTCGCGATTGGAACGCTGAAATCGCGATGGCGGGAGTAAAGGCACGCACGAGGTGTTCCAGATTCGATGAAAGTCCTTTTATCGATTTTAGTATGATCTTATCTTTATACCTTGTCAATCCGTTATAAATGAAATGAAATGAAAATATTAGAAACACGTTGTATTTAAGAACTTAACACTTCCTGAGCTATATTTTTGAACCATTAAATATTGTGACTGTGTAGAGATTATGAATGAATATTTTTTTCACGGAATTTATGTCACGTTTACAAGCTCGTTTTTATTAAGTATTCACACTTGACAAAATATTTTCCGACGCATCTCCGTTTAGCCAGGCCAACGTCAAAATAGAGGGTGGTTTATATTACGATACGAGGATACGTATGGGGGATTTATGTCTTGCATACTTGATACTTCGCCATGATACTTTGCAAAGGAATCGTCTAATATAAATTGAAATTTATAATTAAAAATGAAAAATTATTAACAAAACGAAATCTTTGAAAAAATTGGGAAAATAGGTGAACCATTTGTAGAAAATAGCACATACGGTGAAAAATAACTTTAATAACCGGTTAAGATACAGGAACCCTTTTTCAGTCGTGTAACTTTTCAACTTTCTCATAGTGTAAAAACATCGACAAAGATCCAAGTGTTTCAATCCACTCGAGAATCTCTCTCTCTCTCTCTCTATCGCGATTTTAATCGACGCGATGCCGGTGCTTTTTTTGTCGAAGACCATGAATGAAGTTTCTGTGTGTTTCATTGGCTCGCTCGTTTCATTCACACGTTAACGTAATGCATTTAACTTGCGTATCGATACGCCATTTATTCCAGCTATTGTAGGGTGTGTACATATATGTTGCTCGTTTCCCGTTACTGTTACATAAAGTTCGTTTTATCCAACACAATCGCTTTTAACAAAACATTTGTTAAGTATTTGTAATTTTTTATTAATTTGACGCTGGTAGAAAAACAATGCGAGCAAAAAATATTTTTAGGAATTTTATTTTAATTATTTTCATTTATTTATTTTTTAGTTTATTTTAATTAGTTCAATCTATTAGGTGTATAAATTAATTTGATATCTTCAACGTCACGTTTCATTAATTACTCTTTTAAATATGAAAATTTTACTGATTGTTAAGTTCTTACCGTATAGATGTATTTTCAACCCTCGGATGGTGTTTCATATTATTTTCATTTTCTAAATTTTACACTCTTTCGTTTAAAAATTATGCAATTAACTTTAGGTTAATATTCTTCTATATGTTTGGTATGTTGGAGTCGCGATTGATCCAGGCTGGAGGGTTAAATTCGAGAAATATTCAAGTGGGTTCGCCTTGAAATTTTCATCTGATGAACGGGAAAATACCTATGGGGAAAGTCAAACATTGGCCTATATTACCCGGTACGACTTTCTTTGTGTCGACTATCTCACGTTATAGAGAACTCTTTCCCTTATTATGTGCTTTGTTAGATCTTCGCAAATGTATCATCCGTGAGATTTTACAATGGCCGGAGAAATTACTCGCTAATGTAACTCCTTAACAGTATATACTCGTCTTTCACAAATAAGCTGAAACGACACGGTGATCTTGAAAATAACGAGTTATACGTGACACTCTGTGTATGCTGCTTGCAAATCCTCCGCACAATCGATTCGAAACGTCGATACGCGCTATTCATAAGCAAATTCTGCGTGTTTTTTGGAGCTACCATTCTTTCGAAACACGTTTATCATTGAGAGGTAATGGGACAAGCTTTGTTCATTATTTTGTCGACCCACGTGGTCTTTTGTCGCTGAAAATATCTATGCTTTGTTCTTTTGTACTAGCTACTGTACGAATGATCAATTATAGTGGCTGAATTTTGAATTTTCTGGTCATAAATTATTTATTAATCTACAAGCAAGTTCCCTTTATTAGAATTTCATTTTATTAAATAATTGAATGCACAGAAAAATCTTTTTATCATTAAATTATAAAATGATTCAGCATTTACCATTAAAAGGTTTATAATTTAATTTTGAAAGGTTAACAACCCTTTAATCTTTAACGATTTTTCTGTAATTAAAAAAATTCCAGATATTTCATCGAAGTTTTTATTAAAAATCTTTTTATTCAAATTCACAATTCAAAACTCAATATTCAGAACTTGAAATTCGAAACTTGAAATTTAAATATTCTATTATATTACAATTAATTTTTCAGTTTTCACATAGCAATGATCTATTTCACCAATGATCGATAGATAAAGCATTAGCAATAAGTAATGAAAAATATTTGAATTTTGCAATAATATTAATGGTCGGGCAATAATTCGATCGATTGTGCGGGCTGATCGAAGATTGTGTCGATCGTCGAAGAGCGTCAAGTTGACCGAAAGACCGTGCCGGAAGTGCCGTCTGGTACGGTGGCTTTCCGCTCCACTGGTTTCCTGTTTCTTCCATCGAGGTCTTCTTTTTCTTCTGCGGCGACGACACGTATACCCTCTGTATCTTCCTTCGAATGTTCTCTCTTAAAGCCGATAATCGTGTCCTTTCCACACACGTGTGATACCGGCGAGCCCTGTGCCTTAGAATAGGAAAAGCTTCGTGAAAGGAATTCGTAATCATTGGGAAGCGAAGGCTACGAAATCAGATTCAATTTCAATTTGACAAACGATGTCCTGTTTTCGCGAAGGCTAGCCGCCTCGTTCCGGTTAATTGAATTTAAGTATACGCTCTTGTAGCTAGTTGATCGAAGAATTCACTTTTCTTTTTTTTCCATTAAGCTGTTACGCATGGTACAAGCAACAAACAAGAAGATCCAGTGGTGGTAGGTTTAAGGTTTTTTATTCGAAGGAATGAATAGCTTTAGGTTTTGCAGTATAAATGAAATGAAGCTTTTTCAATGGTATTTTATATTAAATAAAAATATTATTTAATATTAATAATAATATGAAACTTTTTTACTATCGCCGTTTTTCTTTACGATTAAATATTATTTAATTTTATTCAGAATAAATTTAAATTTTCGATTTTATAGTCCTGGGTCCCAGAAATCTTGATTCGGCCTTGATTTCTTTTCTAATAAAAAAAGAAAGCATTAAAGCTTATTCTATTTGTGTCTTTTACAAAAATACATGAATTTATTTTATGAAAAAGTTTGACTGTAGCATGTACAAATGTTAACATAATAATTTCTAGATAGAATTTGAGATAGAATATACAATTGTTTACGAATTCAATAATTAATTTTTTCAAAAATATGACATTGGTACTTTTTGTACCAAGACATACGTTTGAAACTTTTGCAAAGTACAACTTCTTCGGTATGCATCGATAAGGCATTAACAATTGGAGTTTTCGAAGGGAATTTTCTCGTTTAGGTACTAGAAAGATTATGGTTGGAGCTCTTTTTTAGTTCTTTTTTTTCCTCTGGCAGTCTGGCAGATACAAAGTGCACGTAGTTATTCGGTCGAGCACACGCGTGCTCGCACGTAAGCACGGCTCTCCATCGACTTAAGCACTCGGCAGACGTGGCCGAATTTGCATACAGAGAGTGCAATGAATTCGCAACTTTGCGAGTGTGACACCCAGCCTCTCTTCTCTGCTTTACAAATGTGCTGGAAATTGCCGGTGTATCTTTTTTCGATTCTCCTACACATCAGGAGAATATTCTTATTTTTGCTGCAATTTTTATCAAGTCGTAATGATTTATCGATTGCAGTCAGTGTATTGTTAAACAATTATATCAACATGCGTTTCGTTAGAAGGTTGACACTGGCATCTTAGAATCTCCTGCAATTGAATAATTAAATATACAATTTATAACATTAATATAACTCTATTTTGCAATACGATGTTAACCCACAAAAATTTGAAAATTAATTTTTTTAAAACAGTAAGGAATATTTTTTAAGAAAACTTTTATTTAAGTTGATTGCATTTTAATGAAAAGGAAGCTAAAGAATAATTAAGAAAAATAGTATATTTACGTAATATTATTTTTGCAATAAGATGTTCGATTTTTCCCGACCCAACCCGCTCCGATTTTTCTCGATCCGATCCAATCTCGTCCGATGTTTTCCGATTCATTACATTAGGTGGGTTAACACTGTATTGCAGAATAATGTCCAAATTGAAATTGAGTTTCAAACAAACCTGAAGAGATTTCCGAAATTCAGTAGACAATGAGATGTAAATGATTGCAAAAATAATCGGGAACGTCTTGGCCATGAAATAGAGCACTTCCCTTTTGCCGTCTGTGCAACATAACGCTTTGGGTTCAATGAAATTGATCGCCCTTGCGATTCGATATGGTGCTCGAATCAGGAAAAACACGATCCCTATGATCACTGTGAGAAAGATCTTTCTAAATCGTTCATTATCTTCTCTTGACAATGTACATGTAATTCATTCAATTTTAATAGTTGAATAATCCTAATTATTTGAAATCTCATTTTCCTAAACTATATTTGTATAACCCGTATGACTCGTACAACAGAGATCAGTGGCGCATTCTTCTATAGAGGAGTCAAATAAATTTTTCTTATACCTTAACATTCTTTCCTCCGTTTTCATTTTTTGAAATTTTTAAAAATATTTCAATATTTATTAGAATAGGTCCCCCCATCTCTAGTTACACTACTGACTGTAGTAATAAAAAATGCATCATTTTCAAGCAAGAAAATTTTTACCCAGCCCTGACTACAGTTTTCCATCCACAATATCAAAATCAATCATAAACCCAACTCACTCACCCAACATATAATAATGTCTCAACTGATTCGATCGCCACGATCCTTCGATAGCCTTCAGTATCATCAGCTCGTAAATGATCAGTGAATCCAGAACGACGAATATAATAAGCGGTAGAACGGAGAACATAAACGTGCTCCAAACGTACATATCAGCCATGTCCCCCTCGAAGAAATCGTATATATGCAATCCAATAGCAATGGACATGGTGCACGAGACCCAAACTAAAAAGATCGCTTTTACGGTGGTGTACCGTTTCACAAGTACATACCCAAAAGGTGTCTGACGCTGAAAAATGTTTATATAGAGCATGAACTTCAAAATTGCTATTGTTATTATCGATACGTCGAAGTTGATCAAGCAGACGTAGTCCATATTTAGCTTCATTTTTACATCGAACAACCATTTGAGTACTTCTTCGAGAGGCTCCATCAGGATCAGCATGTTGGAACAGGCCATACTGACGATGTACAGGTGCCACGACGTCCTCATGGATGATTTCGAGAGGATCACTAGGACGATCAAGAGATTCATGGTTGCTCCAAGTGAAAGAAACGTTAGATTCATGATCCGAGCGTTTATCAGTGGGATATTTGAGACGATGATGTTGATCTTCGTGGGACTGGTCGTCCTGTCACAAGCAGAGGAATACGTTGGAAAAGGTATTTCCATGTGTTCGAAGGCGTATTTCGAAACGTGGGCATGTTTCGAGTTATTGAGGGCCATTGGGCGCCACTTTGAGCCTCCAGTGGTGTTTGGCATAATTAGCACTCGAAATTTCACTGATTATGAAGAATTTTTATTCCTACGACGCGCCTGACTCGCGAACAGAAATAATACTGAAGAACTGGAAAGGTTGTTGAAGTTTGTTTTTCGCACTTGCTCCCATTTGGGAATTTGATATACTGAAATGTGGGTAGGTGCTTCTGGATCGACCGTGACATTGTTTGACATGCAATTTTTTCATTTTGTTAAGTGCTTCTGCGTATGCATGGCAGGAAACAGCTAGTCAATATTTTGTTTTAAATTAAAGTAATTAATTCAGAATTGTTAAGTATATATCAGTTACAAGAGGCTAACGAGTAGAAAAATAAATTACTTCTGTCACAGTGAAATATACGAAAAAACGCAATCTTCTAATTACACAGCTGACAATTATTCAGTCAATTAACGCTACTGTCCCGAATACTTTAATCAACCTACCGATCGAAAGAACGCTCGAGTTCCCTTTCACCAGGAGATACATAATAACGAAGAAACCCTTGACCGTGACATCACGAACGGATGATTTTGTTGTTGAAACTCACCCGACGACCAATGACGAAAATAATCGTGTACGAATAAATCATGTAGGATCGTGGTGGAAAGGAGACAGAGAAATGCAGCCTCACGTTCAGCTGCATAATGCAACGAGAGATGCAGGAGAAGAGGTTGGCAAATGGCCATGAGCGCAATATCGGTCAGTGTTTGGCCCTGATAGATTTATCGTTGGATTTATACGCTCAAGATACCGTGGCGCGAGTAATCGTTTCTTTCGAGCTCACTGTTTCGCCTATTGTGCACCTTTAAACAGATTCTATATGATAGATTGTCTGTTGCTTTGCTGAACAAAGGATCTGCAGAATTGAAATAAGTCAAACGCTGACATTTTCCTTATCGAACATCTTAGAAAACTATTCATTTATTTTTTATGATTAAAATGTAGGATTAGGATCATTGTTTTGAGATATATTTTCTAATTATTTTGAAATGTCATTTATTTTAGTTGATTTATGTATTTTATTTTAATGTATGATAAAATTTATTTATTTTTTTAATTGGCCATAAGTCATCAATTTTCCATGGTATGGAAATTAATAATTGAATATAATTGTATATAATAATGCTACTTTGGAGTCAATCCACTAGTGTAACTAGAGGGTTTAATTGAACTCCTATTAAAAAATTCAAAATCTTTTTTTTTTTAAATAAATACCGAAATATTCTTGACAATTTCAGAAAACGTTATCTGAAGAAAATTAGATTTAACATTATCACAATACTTTCTCAAGAAAGTAGAATATTATTTTTTGACCTCCCTATATCACAATTATAATCACGCCACTGAGTCAACCTACAATTTAAAGTTTCTTTATTTTAAGTTCTCTTTCATTCCCATTTTTAAAATTATTTTTCTAATACATGAAAATATTTTGCTGTTTCTTGTAAAATAAATTCCATAACGAATATTTCATAGTGTATACAATCTGAAAGGTTTAAACGTTACCCGCCAATTTTCGCAGACCCATCTCACCTTTCCACTTCGTGCGGTAAAATATACACGCCATTCGATGATCAGAGAAGTAATCCCTGGTTGTTTCGTAAACTTACAAAATTCGTATTCCTCTTTTGACGGTGCGTGCGTGTTTTCGATGCCTCGAGTTCTCTCGCACTTTCATCCTTGGGCCAGGTGTGCGGTTCAGTTTTGTGGGTTCTCCTGTACTTTTTTTTCTTCTTCTCGTCCGCCGAGATCGGGTTAGCTGTGGAGGAGGGTGTAAGGGCCAAATAAGTGCAGTGGCAGGGCCAGGGTCAGGGCCACAACCGGTTTAATGGTTAGCCATCATTACGACGTAACTCATAGAGACCCCGAGGCTCCAAGGTAATCTGAAGATTGCATTATCATCGCGAACACAAAGTTCCTAAATGTTAAAGCTGGGTTTACATTAGAACAAATAGAAATATATATTTTCGATTTTCAATTTTTTTCCTGGAAAATTCACCCCATTTTAGATCTTAAATTTGAAAACAAAATTCACCCCATTTTAGATCTTAAATTTTCTACTTTATTTTAAATTTGAAAACAAGTGCTCATTGAACGTCGGTGGTTCTAGTGTCTAATTTCGCCATAATGGAAATCATAATTTCCTCCAGATAAAATAATTCGCGAAACTCGAAGAATGCGACACGCGTCGTATAAAAGGCGCGTACGCGTACGCGATACTGCAAAAGAAAGATTTATAGCGAGTGGACCGCGTTACCGCAACCTCGTGCTCCTGCGGCCACTTTACCCCTGCTTGGTCCTCTTGTCAAGGGGTCCCGTGATATTTTACGCATGACCGGTTCGACGAGTTTTTCCCGAAGACCGCAATCGCGATGCGCGACCGGCCAACATTCGATACTCGGTAGCGCAGGTGCATCGTGCAAAGAAAAAAAAAGGAAAAATCAAAAGTTCGCGAGTACAACCCCTCGAAAACGCTGGAGCGAAGATTATACGGAATTGCCACTGGGTTGCGATCTCCCTCTTTCTAGGGCTGCCCCTGATACCGGGCAAACGGGGCACTCGCCCCGTGCCCCGAGATTAAATTATCATCAAATCTTACAATAAACGATAAATATAAAATACCCCTCTTATGTTATAGTGTTATTAGAATAGATTTCAAAATTATCTGTTTCTAATTAATTATTTTCAATCATCTGAACTTTTGCCCCGAGCCCTATAATCTTTAGGAGCAGCTTTAATTTAACATTTACAAATTTTTTTGTTCTGGCAATTTAATTTTTAGACAGATTTTAAAATTATAGGAAGTAGGAAAATTTTTGATATTAGAGATAGTAGATCTACTTATCGTGAAAAGTTTGGGAGTTCTGACAATGAGAATTCAATTACTTAAAAACAAAAGAATGAATGATAACAGAAGCTGATAATATTCGATTGGTTTTATTCACAATTTTCTAAATAATAGATAAGATTAAATAGAAATATTTGTTTAATCTCTCCTTTTAACGCTATCACTGATAAGAAAACGAAACGTGACAAATTCAGCCGAAACTTTTTAACTTAAAAACCACTCGATGCGTTATCGGCACGAAAAACTTTCAGACACGAGCCCATATAAGTGGAAAATCCTTAAATCCCTGGGGGTGAAAAACGGTTCGGCCAAAGCCGGAATTACCACGTCGATCACTTGTCTTGGATGTAGAGTTCAAATCCTATTTGATTTATCTAAACTCTGTTTGATGAATTGATTTTGAATATATCGAGTAATAATTGAAGACACGAATGGATACATATGTCATTTAACATTTTTTTAATATAACCACACTGGGTACTTTTTGTACATAAAAGTTGAAGATCTTTAAATCAATTTTGCTCCAAATAATTAATTTGTGATATCACACATTTATCCCCTCATTTCTTCAATTATTATTTGCATACAAAATGTTTGATTTAATAAGGGACATTCTTGCTACAATTTCAGCATTTATTATTATTCTACTTGAATTGAATCTTCTGCTCTATTGAACCGATATCTACTTAATGAATTCTATCAAGGATTTTTATTTCCTCCATTGAAAGGAATTCTACCGCGAATTTCAACACCCCTATCACCGATCTTCTCACTTCACCACCTTCTTTTCTCGTTTCATATCATTTCCATTTTACGTCTCTCCTCCCCTAGAATTCATCGATCCAGGCATGGATTACCTTGATTATACTTTCACATCGCTGACTGACATTGTACGGAAATTTGCAAATGAGATTCGTTATCAAATTCTCAGATATTTCTCTTAAGAAAAAAAGAAATTCTAGCCTTAAATGTTCTAAAAAGATTCATTCATCCATATTGTATTATGGATGAGTGGAACCATACTTAATTAATTCAATGTTAGTTAATTTTATTCAATATATATATAAGTATAAGAATCATTAGTTTCTAATGATTCGCTATTATCTTATATTGTTATTATGGAATCTAATATTTTCTTCTTTCTAAAATTTTTGTGTGTTACGAAAGAAACGCGTTTATTCTTTCGGCGTCGAACAAGACAGCCGTTCAATTTTTTCCCGCTCGTCAACGAGCCTTTCAGTCGTTCATTTTTTGCAACAGCCATTGCCAACTTTCTTCTGCGTCTTCGCGTAATTGTTTACCCGCGCGTCAAGCGTCTGCGGTTGCGATCGCGAATCAAGAAACTCTATCCGATGCTGCGGACGCGAAACTCTGCATTGCGGCTGAAACGCCATCGTGCTGACGCGTGTAAATCCATCTGGACTCTACATTGTCCGAGCATACGTTCGCTGAATATGTAATGCTTACTGAAATTAATTACCCTCTGTTCTTGATTAAGATTAACATTACAATTTCGATCGCACATTTCATAAGATTTATGACAATAGTATAACTAGAGGGAGTTAAAAAGATCAATTGATCCTTCTATTAGGAATATAAAAATCGTTTATTTTTAATAAATACCGGAATATTTTGGAAAATTTCCGAAAACGTTATCTGGAATAAACAAAAATTATTGTGATGAAATATTATTATTAAGGTATGAAAGAAAAGTTTTCTGACCCCCGCTCCCCCATTCATTCGCGTAATTAGGATTTTCTGCTGGGGTGGATTAAATCCCTTAAAAATTTTTTAATTTAAGAATTCTGGAAGTTTTGAAATCTGACACTTTAAAATTTTGGAATTTTCAAATTGTGGAATTCTAAAATCTTAGAAATCAGATATTTTCAAATTCTGGAATTTTTTAATTTTAGAATCTATTGTGTGTTTCCTACTTAATACATTGTTTAATATTTTCAAGAAAATGTAAAATAAAATGAAAGAATATGTAGTTACTAGTATTAGGGATCTTCTTTGATATCGCTAAAATTGTTAATTTTCATAGGAAACATCGATAAATCATTGCAGGTTCAATGATCAAAGCAGTAGTAATTGGCAGACCAACCGCGCTCCTGTGTTTTCTTTTCCACGGGTTAGGCGTCGCGGCGCCTCCCACGGTTTAATTCTTCGCGGCGTCTACCCGTGCGTCGAAACGGAAATAACCTCGCGATAGCAGCAGACCCCGAGTTTATGCCATAATACACGATCCTCTCCCCTCTTTCTC